CATATGGATATAATATTATTTGACCAGATAAGAAATGTGACAGGTATTATAGCATACTATGGTGACCATACTACAGGATACACTTATTTACATTTATTGAATCATAAATATATAACTATATGAAGCCATACTCGTTTAAAATAGCATAAATTTGGTCATGGAATGGCTCAGGAAGATTTACTGTTGTCTTAGTCTTAAGCAACAATGTTTTTTGTAAAAATAGAAAACTGCTTGAATTATTCTCCTTTGTAATAATATTCAAAGCGTCAATAGATACTTTGTTTTTTGACATAATAAGCTTGAGTGTCAACTTGTCTTCAGTTGCATTTAACCAATATCCCCAAATTTGTTGTTGAGAATGCTAGTTTAGAAGATCAGACATCTTGTCAGGAAAATAAAACAGCCAATGAGCATCTTCTGTGTCAGTATAGACAGGCAGGATGTATCCCTTATGATTAGAAAATGATTTATAATTGGCTGCCAAAGCAGTCAATGCATCTTCTGTGAAGCAACTTCTGTAATTTGTTGTTAACAGATTATACTCCACGTCACTGAGTGCAAGATCTGTGACTTCCATATCACTCTCCTCGATGCAAATTTGGTCAGTCACCACTTGTAAAGTTTTTTCTTGGTCAACCACCTTACATAAAATATGTTGAAGTTCAGCTTGTTGGGGATCGATTTTTTCAGTTACTGCAGCATCAGAATGTGTGATGCTAGGCTCTGGTTCAAGTTGAAAAACTATGCTTTCTTGAGCATTCATTATTGCTTTAACTTTCTCTTCCCCATAGTTATTTGGCTTTCTAAACTTTATTCCATTAGGAAGACCAGTTACTGTGAAACCTTTTTTCAGGTATGGTACACGAGACCCAGGTTTCCCACATGCTTCACCTATTATAACATTTAAAGAAAACTTATTATAGATGATTAAATTATTAATTACTTTTACTGTAGGATACTAAAATCCTATTCACTGGATATTTATTTAACAATTAACTCGTTGCTACTAGGAGCTTTCCCTTGATGAATAAAATCATCTGGCATTAGACAGAGTAAAATCTACGAAAGGGCCAGTTGCAGCCCGCCTGGGCAGAGATGGGGTTAATATACCATGTGATACTACTAGTTTACCCTGCACACTTAGCTTTTATAGCAAATTTCATAAAAACAAATTTAGCATACATTTCAAATTAAAATACTCACTGTACTTCTTGTTAAACAAGTCTCTTACATCTTTATTAGTGTAGTTTGGACCCCTGTTTGTTGTATCTAAAATAAACATAATATACTGTAGTGTCAAAGTGTCACTACTGACAACAGGCTAGCATGTGTCACTACAGACTCTACGCGAACACACAAGATGGCTGTGGGTAGAGTTTGTGCATTGCAATTCTACATAAAGCCCTTTCGTGCATATGTGTAGAGTGTGCACAGAGGCTAACAGCAGATCTGTTCATCCTCAAAGGCCTGGTTGCGAGCATTTAAATTTTTATGCTAAAAATACGCTTACCGAAAAAATTCATGAACTTCAATGCCACTGCATTATCTTGCAGCAGAAACTGCTCCTTTTGCTGATCCATACTGGTTAACAGTCCCAGTTCCAGAGTCGTGCATAAGAACTGCTGATTCACATCCCAGGCTTTCAAGATATGTTAGCTAAGAATTAAAGATATTAAAATTATTAAATAATTATTCTATTATAATTAACCCATGGGCTTTTCCATGATGACTGATGAGTATAATCACCTGAGTCCCTTACATGAGATATAGTAAAATCTGTTAAGCCATGGCCAGCAAGGCCACCTATAACTGGCCACAGATTTTACCCTGTCTAATACCAGGCAATTTTACTTGTCATAAGAAAGCTCCCACCAGCAATGAGTTAGTGGTAATGGCAAATAAAATACCATATAGCAAACAAATTTAAAAATGCAGTCATCATTTTAAAAAATGCATTCATCATTTTAAAAAATGCATTCATCATCATCTTAACAGGGGTAGAACTTACAGCTAGTTACAAATACATGTAGTATAAATAAGCTTTTTTATCCAGAGCTTTTCATATTGCTATGCTCTCATACCTGAACTGAGGAGTTTTGATGTAAATATGTTGAAACCTGAAGTTGAACGCTTTAGCGGAGGACCTTTAACAACATGGCTTTCTGATTGCCCAGTATCTTCTTGCATGGTTTCTACTCCTTCCACTACTTTTCTTTTCCTTCTCTCATTTCCAATCCACTTCTGTAACATTATATATGTAATATATTTTTACTTTTAATTAGCCAAATTTGAAATTTCCAAACACTGTATAAATTGTTTTTCTAGCCAATTTAAAGTAAGTTAGGTAGGGGAAGGGACATGTCATGGCAAAAGACTTTCGATGGGAAAGCAAAATCACATGGTGATAATAATAATACTACATAAAGAACACATTTATCATTCGTTGGAATCTACCAGGGCAGTGAGTATACAGTATATTATTCACAGTTGATCACATTCGGCGCGGCCATACTTTATCATACTATGAATTTATGCAAATTAAGCAATGGATTATGGATTATTCATGAATTTTAATAAACTGTCCGGAACTGTTCGGAATTTTTATACCAGCACAATGTCAATACCTATTGTCCTATTTCAATAACTGTATTAACGAGACAGTATCAGTGTGAATGAGCGAAAGGGGATGTGTATGTGACTATGTCATACACAATTTTTATCAAAAAATATTAAGGTGGCTCAATACACTTTTTGGCTAAATAGACAACCGCCTTATATTTTCCATTTCGAAAGAAGAAAGTGGCTTAAATTTTCATCCAACGCGAGACTAATTGCTATTAAAACAATATTTGAAAAAAAAACGACGTGTCCATGGTAACAATGACGAAATTGATATCCCAAAAGAGACAAAATATTGTGGTTTTTTCAGTTTCTCTCAAAAATTAGTTCGGTTACCCCCAATTTTTTTTACATATATCATGAAATTGAGTTGTAAGGAATGTTCAGGGAAAGTTTAAAAAAATTCTGTGGAGTCAAATCTTTGGAATGAAAAATCAGCTTTTTTGAAACTTTCCGTCCACAGATTTTTTTTATTTTTTAATCCTGAATGCCGCAAGTGCATATCTACTCATGCGCAAATTTTCAGGGTGGGTTACCGAACTCGTTCAGCAAATATTTCTGATTATTGTGGTAAATTTATGCGCGGCCAATTTTTTTACCCACTCTGCAAGATCAATGATTTGACATGCGTGTAAACAAGTTCGCGGGCGCATCAGAAACAAAACCACGCGACACGCAACGAAGCACAAGCTCAAAAGAAATTTAATTCTGATTCAAATTGTATAAAATATGATTGGAATTGTGTATATTCTCCTATCTACTGTCCGAGATGTTTAAATTACTGTTTGATTGAAAGTATTTTACAATATTTGAAAGAATTCGTCTGTTCTTCGTCACTCTTGGGCGACTTTTGTCCAAAGTTCTACTACGCGAATCTTCCAGGACATTTGGTGGCATGTAAAGCATTCCAACTACCCCTGTTTCGCCAAATTTCTGCCACAACGTCAAAAGATCACAGTACGATAGTCCACTTTCTGCAATTTTGGTGGCCATTCCATGCGATATAGGACTGTGGTCTTCGTTTGGCGAGTAGAGCTTTCCTACGAAAGTTTCGTAGCGGTCATGTCGATCATCAATAAATTTCAAGTCAACTTTTACAGCTGGGACTGACAATATCTGGCAGAAATCTACTATAGTTTTTACGTCAATGGCCATTTCAGGACTGAATAAGATCTTTCTTAGCGCAATCACGTCTTCTAATGCATCGTGGGCATTGAAATCTTCGTGGAACAAACATTTGTAAACACTGCCTAAATTTGCAGCACAGAACTCGCCGTTTGATTGCATCAGTGGAGAATGCTTACTGGATATCAATGCTCTAATCAATGGTAAACTGTCTCCAAAACAAATGTTCATTCTATTAAGTTTTTCTTCGAAACTGTCATTAGCATTGCGGAGGAGTGTAGAAACGTCGAATGTGGCGGCATTGTGACCAACAAGGACAGTCATAAGATCGTCTATTTTGACTGGATTTGGACCACTGGTATGTAAACTTTGTTCGTCTTGAAGGAATTGCACAAACGATTGTAATGCTACCTCCAGGGTAACTGAGCTTACTGGTTGAAAACTTTTGCACAATGTTCTGATCCCATTTATAGTTTCTACAGTTAAATTGTTGACTTTCGATGCATAGAAGCCAACAGATTTTTTGGCATTATGTAAGAGGAGAAAGTATGACCATTTTGACTGATAGCTGAGAGTTGACATATCTCTGCCTGTTTACCTGTGCAAGTTGTTTCAGTATGAAATAAAACAAATTGGTATCTTTTCTCCGGGTCATAGCTGTAGTACTTCTTTTGTGGTCTCTCTGTAAATGGTGGGACTAATTTGTTCATTTCTTCTTTATTTCTGGTTGTTAGGCTCATGATAATTTTTTTGATATCAATAAGTGTGGTCTTATTTGTAACTGCATGGGCATGCAGTAGAATTTTCTTTAATGAGATTCAATCCAATACCGGTTTCATATGTTTTTCCTTCCTTTGCTTCTTTCTTAGCATTTTTTGAAATTCTTTCTGACTGTAACTGATGTCGCCTAACTTTAGAACTTTTTGAGGATTTTCTAATTTTATCTTTTTGTTGTTTTTTATCTATTTTAGAATTATGAAGTAAGCAATTGGTACCTGGATCAATGCCAAGGCTATCTAGTGTGGTGTTGATATAACTAAATCCAATGTTCTTCTGGGCAACCGAACAGGCAATCCGAAAGTCATTGCTTTCGCTACCACCATAAAAACGGATTTTGGGGGTTTTGCTTCCTATTATGCTGTTTAGGGACTCATTTCTCTGTGAGTTGGCAAACGGTACTAATTTTGCAACAACCGTATCTGTGGTGTGGCATATTCATCAAACAAGGTGGTAAGTAAATGCTTTAATTGATTGCCATGCAAGTCATACGCCTAGCGCAATGGGAATGTGGGGATTTAGCTGCTTTACTTCGAGAGGCCCGTACAATTCAAGATAGATTACGCTCGTCGACACCGAATAGCCTTAGCAAGGAACGTCTGGCAAAAACCATTGCAAAACTCGTGTTCGAAGGGAAGATTAATGCTGCATTAAAACTCCTCGAGCAGAACAGTAGGGGCATTTTGCCACTATCCCAAAGCACAATAAATGAGTTAACACGAAAACACCCAGACGCCACTGAAGCAGAAGCATCTGTACTGATAAATGGTCCAATACCTTTTGTTGACCCTGTTATGTTTCAAAACATAACAGAATCTACTATCATGAATGCTGCACTAAAAACAAAAGGGTCAAGTGGACCTTCGGGTATAGATGCGGATGGTTGGAAGAGGATACTCGTGTCAAAGAACTTTGCAACTGTTGGCCGAGATCTCAGGTGTGCAATTGCCACCTTTGCACAAAAAGTCAGCACGATAGAAATTGAAGCTACAATGGAAAATGACAGAAGGTGTACTAATCTGGAAGCCTATTTAGCTTGTCGATTGATTCCTTTAGACAAGAACCCAGGAATCAGACCTATAGGGATTGGAGAAGTGCTACGGAGGATTGTGGGAAAGGCTATTCTATCAGTCATAAAGCCGGACATCATCAGCTCAGCAGGAAATCTACAACTGTGTGCAGGCCAGGCAAGCAGATGTGAAGCTGCTGTACACGCAATAAGAGATATCTTTGAAGCCCAGTCTACTGATGCAGTGCTTCTTGTAGATGCAGATAACGCCTTCAACTCTCTCAACCGTGCTGTCCTACTTCATAATATACGTTATTTATGCCCCCCAATGGCTACATACATAAGGAACTGTTATAATACACCATCTCGCTTGTTTGTTCTTGGTGGTACGGAGCTCTTGTCATCAGAGAGAACCACGCAAGGGGATCCCCTTGCAATGCCAGTGTATGCAATAGGAATTATTCCTCTACTACAAGTCATCAAACCGGATAATGACAGTGTGAAACATGTCGCATTTGCAGATGATTTGAGTGGCGCAGGCAATCTAGCCCCTCTTCGAACATGGTGGGATAATTTGGTAACAGTTGGACCTAAATTGGGATACTACCCCAAGGCGTCTAAATCTTGGTTGGTGGTAAAACCCGAAGTAGAAGATGAAGCGCATCTAATTTTCGCTGGGACGGACATCAAGATAACAACTGAAGGAAGACAGTGCCTTGGCGGATTTGTCGGTAGTGAAGCTGGTCAGTCCGAATACATTGATGGGCTAGTGGACTCTTGGTGTAATCAATTGATACTTCTGTCCAAAATAGCAAGATCTGAGCCGCATGCTGCTTATGCTGCATTTACTAGTGGTTTTAAGCACAAACTGACCTACTACATCAGAACAATTCCAAACATCAAGCAACAACTAACTAAAGTAGATGAAGTGATAGACAACACATTAATTCCAGCAATTACAGAAGGCCATATCTGCACTGTTGAAGAACGACTCTTGCTGTCTTTACCAGTAAAGAAAGGAGGTCTAGCAGTACCTATGTTTACCAACATCGCTGACTTTGAGTATTTAAATTCTCGTTACTAACTAGTTACAAACATCAAGAACCAGGACAGCGAAAAGATGATAGACAATGAGCAATTGAAGCAAACTAGAAAGAACATTGTGAAAGCCAGAGAGGAACAACACAAAACCACTTTACAGCAAGTCCGGGAAAAGATGAACAAAGAGCAACTAAGAGCAAACGACCTAAACATGATCAAAGGAGCGTCGAGCTGGTTGACGACTCTACCAATTCAATCAGAGAACTTCAACTTGAGCAAAAGAGAATTCTATGATGCTCTTCGTCTTAGATATCGCTGGACCCCGAAGTACCTACCAACAATGTGTGCCTGTGGTAAACGTTTTGACGTTGACCATGCCATGTCATGCATGAAAGGTGGTTTTATACACAGACGCCACAATGAAGTAAGAGATCTTTTCGCAGATCTACTCAATGATGTATGTCACGATGTTCAAATTGAGCCACAACTTGAACCCTTAACCGGCGAAGCTTTGCACAGTAGCGCCAACTCATCAGATGAAGCCAGGTTAGATGTCTGCGCAAGAGACTTTTGGATAAGAGGGCAACGAGCATTTTTCGATGTAAGGGTGTTTAACCCTTTCGCTAAGAGCCACCTGAACCAGAAACTAGAAGCAACCTTCACCGCGAACGAAAACGAAAAGAAACGCCAATATAACCAACGCGTCATTCAGATCGAGCATGGTTCCTTCACACCTTTAGTTTTTACTCCCTATGGAGGAAGTGGAAGGGAAGTGGAACGTTTCATTACCAAATTATCGCTTAAAGTTTCAAGGAAAAAGAAGCAAGATTATGGTACTGTCATACACTGGCTAAGAACCAAACTGTCACTTAATCTTATCAAATCAGCAGTGTTAAGTATTAGAGGATCCAGAACAATCAAGAAACTGAACAATGACATTGAAAATGCGGACTTAGTCAAAAACTATCAAATCAATTAATTTATTCCAACTTTGTAAATAGTACATATTTTAACCCCTGGACAGGGTTTTAGAGTTTATTTCCTGTTTTTAGTAAAATATTTTATCATTTTTCTAAGCCTTTGAATGGACAGACCAATTTTAATAAAGTCATTTAATTAATAGGCTGTAATATATCTGTAGTATTTCCAAACATTTCAAAGTCTTTATTGTAAGGAAGTTCTTTGTGCTTGTACGATGTTGGATCTTTTTGATATCCACACCATGATGAACAGCAGCCATGATGGTCTCCAAAAGCATGAGGCACAATGTTCTTTAAAGCTGATGTCAAACTTGCCTTGTCTCGATTTTGTGCAATACAATACGAGAAGCATTTCCCTAAATAATTAATAACCTTTTGACTTAAAGTTGATGAGTTTTGAAACTTGCAGTGTGTTGACAGGTTGTACATTCTTGATGTAAGAGAACGTTTTGCATGTACAATATCTGACCACTTCTCAACTCCATAGGGCACATTCTGATTCAAATGGGAAAGAGTCGTAGTATCATCGTCTCCTACATAAATAGAAAATTTAGCATTTTTGATGGGTGAAGAATTCCACAGTTCACATGCAACTGCTGGTTCCATTGCTTTTGATGACCCGTCATGATTTTTTCTGCAGTCATGCTTTCTTGGTTCTATTCCTCTCTTCCGTGCATGGTCACACACTCTACATGATTTGCACCTTGTCGCATATGCCAACACATTTCCAGTCTGTATGCCCATAGCAACCCCTTGTCCAGTCAGTGAGTTATGTCCTTTTTCACGCTTTTGCCATCCCATGTCATATGACACAGGTATGCCAATTAAGCCATTCTCGTCTGCCACCTCGCCATTCTTTACTGCCATTTTTTTTTCAATTTCCATGTTAGTTTGGCAACTTGTTTGTGCTATTGACTCCACAGCTTTCCCCACCTCTCTTTCACGAGATTTAAATGTTCTGTTGTTTATCGTTGGTAAGTTCATAGTAGCAACCAGGTTATTTAGATTGGTATTACCAATGCCAGTATAAAGAGAACCGAGTACAGCTCTATAATTAATGTTGTAGGTCAACCGGCCACGCTTTCCACTTCGATGTTCTGATGATGTTTTAATTTTATTGATTCTTCCACACAGGTTACATTTTATGTCAAAAATACTGGCAAGACCAATAATTTCCTCCTTGATGATGTTGTTCAATGCCATTGGACCTGAAAGAAGATAATTCCACTGAATTTGCAATCATGTACATAGTTAGGGGAGTGGGGTAATTGGGTCTGGATTCCCACTTTTGTTGTGAAATTCTCCCAAAACTGAGAAGAAACTGAGGATGCCAGGTGTAGTCTTGATGCAGGTCTTCTTAAAATACCCCCTTTTTTAGCACCTGTTTGCAATATATCCATAGTGTTGTGTACTGTTTACACAGATATTAAACATCCATGCCTCATTATAAACTGTACTGTGAGAATTGTAATTGTAGGGGTCACATACCTTTTAAACAGTGATTGCACATGGAAAGACTCTTGGTCAATACTTGTAGGTCTACAATACGACATCCTTGAGGCATGTGAGAGTTTTTTTCATCCTGAATCTATACAGTTGTATAGTATTTAGTTGATTTAATTGCTATCTCTGTCATTCAGAGCTTAATTGTACCTAGAATTAATTCTGTTACACTCACCTGAGTACTTCACTAGTGTACATTTATTTTCACTTGTATTTTCGTCAAAGTCTAGCCTTCGTTTCGGAGCTCTACTGCCTTCGTGAATCCTTTTCTCCCTATCTAACAAACTTTTTTTACCGAACTTTCCGTTAGCGCTCCTGTTTTGGGCGATAATTTTTGCCACTGGAGTATTCCATACTTCGCTTTTTTCATTTTTACCGGCTTTTAATTTATTTAGCGAAAATCCTGTACAAATAGCAGCGGCTAAAAGCCCAGTTATTTGCCAGAAACGTAGTCCACTTTCGCAGATTTGCTCGCCGTCGCTTTGGTCGTCACTCTCGATATTTGACAAATGCTTAGATCCGTTTTTAAAATAAATTTTATTAAAGCGAAATTCCTTTCTATTTACACTAGACTTTAAAGCACTTAGTCTACTAAAACCGATATTTCTAAAGACACGAACCAAATGAAATGCCATTGTTTGTAAGGAAATGCTATTGGATAGCTATCCACTTCACTATCCACGCTTCGTGCAACGCGTTTTTATCCAATGGATAACTATCCACTGCATGGATAGCAGATTTATCCGTTTGATAGGACTTATCCGTTGGATAAGTTATCCATCTTTCGAACAACCGGCCCCTGGTGTTTTGGAGCCGAGTTTTTCTTACTCCCAAAGGATTTCTTCTTCCTCTTGCGATAGCTGTCGTGCTTTATTTGGTCTCTTCCCTCGACCACTTTCTCGAAGCAACTTAGCTTTTCCCTCTAAAACTTGTTTGGAAGTCGTGAATTCTCTATCTCGTATTATGAAAAAAGTATATCCCCTTTCTCTGAGATGTCTGTCAAGGGCACCCGTTCCACGTGTTCTAAATCACATATAGCGAGAGTTCTAAATTTTAGAACGTCGGATATATGTGACAGAGGTGATCACCTAAGCATCCTGTGAGGTATTCATTTAAGGTAGCTCTACGTATTTTTTTCTCTTTTGCGCGGTTTGTCAATATGGCGAATAAATTATTTATCATATAATTAGGTACCACGTGTCTCTTAATTTTTTTATTTATATTATTAATTGGTAATAGCATGATTTCTCGTGCAATTCGGAAAAACATGCACTCGTGAGTTTTTCAAAGACTTCAAATTGCACTCGTTCTTTGGACTCGTGCAATTTGAAGTCTTAGAAAAACCCACTGGTGCATGTTTTTTCCGAATTGCACTCGAAACTATGCTATATTACCTATACAAATTTACATATCGTATTTCATGTTAATATTCATCTAACATCACAACTTCATACAGAGTCTTAATATAAAGATTAAAACATGAAAGTTCTCATCGAATACCCAAATATACTATCGCACCCCATGTATCTCGAGTGGTCAGATGAACAACATTTACAACAAGGTAATATATTTTTATTTATGCCCAGTTCTGTTCGATTATTTACCTACTTAATCAGGGACAATTGGTCTTCTTGGTCTAGCTCCCTCAGAGCAAACAGAGCAAAAAATATATATGGAATTGTTCAAGGTGACCTTTTCATAAATTTCATGGAATATGTAGTCATGTAGAGGGTACATAAGCAATTTAAAACTGTATGGGTGTACAGCTAGGGCCTTTTTAGAGACCTTTTGTCTTGGGGGGGGATGAAAAAAAAGATGTACCTGTAATAGGTAGTTTTAGGGGGTCCCTCCCCAAGAATATATTTGTATTTTGGAATCTGTGCATTAATTTCCTGCATTTTAATTTGGGGGACAATTCTTGATGTGTCCCATCTAAACAGAATGAGGTTTGTTGTGATGTTATCATACCTCTTTCTAAAGGCCCTACTGGAAAGTGTTGACTTAGAGACATATAGAGTTGGGTTAGGGTTAGGGTAAGGGTTGGGGTATTATACATTGTATTAGTTTGTCTATTTTCAGAGCTTGAGGGAACCTAATTCAGTGTGCCCTATTTATTTCTTTGACATATGCCAGGGGATTCTATTTGTCAATAGGGAAGCTCTGGGGCTTAAATTAAATTACTAAGAAAAGGTAGGAATGTCTCTATTTAACCATTAATTTGACTATAGCAATAAGACCCAATTTTTTACTTAGTTTTACCCTGTCTTGTGCTTGCAGTTGCACACATGTTTACTTGGCAGATACTCTCATCCACCAGCATAGGAATGTCTTGAAAATTGGGGGGCCTGACGTTCACAAGGTGCCCCCATGGTAGGCACCGAGCAAGAAAAATTTTGAAATTTGATTGCTTTAGATCTGGTGAAATGCCCATTTCAGAGTCTACTATTGCTACAACCTATAAATAATTTCCAATACTCAGTTTGAATTTCAAAGCTTGTTCTTCATAACTGCTGCATTATTGGGGGGTCCGAAATATTTTCCAGCCCCCCATATATATATA